TATATATATATATATATATATATATATGTGTGTGTGTGTGTGTGTGTGTGAGGAGGGTTCAAACGACACCGTGTAACTTTGACTAAGTGTTACATCACTCAATAACTTGATATTAATTTTGAATTTTGAAAATCCAACCGTTATATTGAAAATTCATATCTCTTAGATCATATATATCAAATTTTGTTAAATTTGAACAACAACTTGAAGGTAATCAAAATGTTTATATTTTAATGTATTTTGAAATAAATATATTACGTCAATTTTGTTTTATGAGAATTTTGTTTTATGAGAATGAAGTATCAAATCATCTTGATTAATATAAAATTTTGTATATATGATCTAAGATATATGAACTTTCAATATAATGGCTGGATTTTCAAAATTCAAATTTATTATCAAGTTATTGAGTGGTGTAACACTTAGTAAAAGTTACACTGGTGTCGTTTGAACCCTCTCTCTCTCTCTCTCTCTCTCTCTCTCTCTATATATATATATATATATATATATAAATAAAATGTAACTTTGATATAATTACCTTAACTGTACTACACAGTTTTTAAAGTTTTCAGGAATTGCCTTTTATTTTCTTTAATTCAGATACTAATTAATATAATAATATGATAACATTAAAGTCATCTAATTTCAGAACTAGAATGATTGTTACACTGTATTTGATTATTGTTTGAAGTAGGGATTCGGAGGTGGCAGAACTTGTTAGTGTGTGTTGGCTGGAAATCAGGGGCTGGATCAAAACTAGCATGTTGCCCCGAAATACCTATTACGGGGCATACTTTGTGTTCAAGCAAAAGAGTGATGAAACCTACGGGTTCAAGAACCAGGCCATTGAGGTGTCGGTTAAGGTTGGTGGAGAAGGTGATGGTGATGGTGATGGTAAGAAGAAAACGGTGTACTTGGAAGGAGAAACACCGCCAAGGGCACGTCCCCATGGGTTACTTAACCGTGTTCGTTCTCGTTTAGTGGAAAATTATGATGCACCAAAACCAAAAAAGAATAATCCTTCTGGTCTTGCTGAAGTTGAGTATCCAAAAGAGAGAAGCGATGGGTGGATGGAGGTTGAATTGGGAGAGTTCTTCAGCGGCCATGGAAAGGCCAAGGAGGTGGATATGGGTGTGTACGAGACTAAGGATCTTCACTGGAAAAAAGGCATTCTCGTTCAAGGAATTGAAATAAGGGCTAAACCCAATTCCAATAATTAAAATACCCATGCCCCAATTTGCATATGTACTTTTGCTTGCATCTAGCAATTAAAATCAGCATCACTAAATCATCTGTTATCACTTACCAGAATCAGATGCCATTGGTGATCCACTTAAGTGTGTTGTATAAATAATATTTGGTGTGCATGTGTTAAGAGATTACTTTTGTTCTAGCTAGGTACCTGAAAAAAACCTTTCTTTGTTGGTAAACTTTCTGACCAGCAGCATGTGTATTGCATTAGTAGTGTGTACCAATATATTGTAAATTAAGTGTTCCAGCAGTGTTTGGGATGACACTATTGCAGTCTTGGATTAAGTTATGTTTGGCTTGAGTTGATTTCAAATTCATCCATTACTCATTGTAATTACAATAAAAAGAGCTTTTCGTAATATTTTTTTAAAAAAGAATATCTAATAGTTTATAAATGTTAATTTATTTTTATAATATATTATTAAATGTTGTATATAATTTATGTTACAAAAATTTTTTAATAAACATTTTTATATAATTATACAACATTTTTTTAAATGTCATCCAAGTGATATTTTTATAATATTTAAATAAATGTTACTAAGTTTTAGTTAATTTTATAAAATAATAATTAATTTTAATATAGATGTTGATATCACTTACACTTTATTGTTCTTAACCTCATATAAAATTTTTAACATTGATGACATTTTTAGTTAATCACTATCAAATATATATCAAATATCAAAGTTTATTTATATTAAGTATTATATATTTTTTATATGTTATTCATTTATTTGATGTGAAACTATAATTTAGAAAAATAATTAAAGATAAAAGAAATATAATTATTATGTAACATTTTTTTTTTAATGTAAGGCTTTAATTTTAAAAATAATTAAAAATAATATGCTGAGATAAAAAATATTACTTTATCTAAAATAAATTTTTTTTTAAAAAAGTGCTACTAAGTAATAATTTATTTATTTAATTTATACAAACACTTTAACAAATATAAGTAAATATTATAAAGATGTAAAATGTAACCGTGAAAGCCCGATCCTAGGCAGCAATAATTCCATCAACATTTTGCACCTGCTAGCTCTCATCACCAGTCCTCTCCCTTTTCGACAATGTTTGAATTTCCAACAAGGATATCTATGAGCAGATTCTCAATGCTGGAGAGGATTCCAAAACTTCATTACCATACAGTCGCTTTTACACCTGATAAACTGAAATTCCTTACATGTGTAGAAGATTCCAAACCAAAGGTCTCGTGCCCATTTTTTCAAATCTTGGGGTTGCCACTTACTACTTTTATATTTCAGGTCAGTGCCTCATTTTTTTTTTTTTTCATCTCTGATCCCCACACCCTGTTTTTACATTTCAGGTCCTGCACTTATTGTTTTTGCATTTGGATCCCCACATTCATTCTTTTTTATATTTTGGGCCCTTACGTTCGTTATTTTTATGTCTTGAGTCTCTACACTTACACTTTTTGTATTTGTTCTTTTATAGTATATATATACGGGGGAATGTTAATATACTCCTACTTATTTTTTAATGGGAGTATATTAGTAACCTATACCAAAATTTTATGACAAAAATGCCATTTATTTTTTTTTATTTGGTTAATTCGTACAAATGATATTATAGTAATTTAATTTAATTTAATTTTAAATGAAAATAAAATATTTTCTCTCTCTTATTAATTTTATTCTCTAATTCATTTATTTTTTCTATTAATTAATTTTTATTTGTTTAGAGAGATAAGAGAGAAATGAGTTAAAGAAGAAATTTAATAGGAGAGAGATAAATAAGTTAGAGAAAGAATTTAATAGGAAAAAGAAATGAGTTGAAGAAAGAATTTAATAAGAGAGAGAAATGATTTAGAGAATGAAATTAATAAGAGAAAAAAAATATTTTATTTTCATTTAAAATTAAATTAAATTACTACAATATCCTTTATACAAATTAACCAAATCAAAAGAAATGAGTGACTTTTTTGTCCTAAAGTTTTGGTGTAGGTTGTTAACATACTCCCACTAAAATGACACCGGTGTAACTTTTACTAAGTGTTACACCGCTCAATAACTTTATATTAAATGTGAATTTTGAAAATCTAACCGTTAGATTGAAAGTTCATATCTTTTAGATCATATATGTCAAATTTTGTTAAAATTGAACAACAACTTGAAGGTAATCAAAGTGTTCATATATTAGTATATTTTGAAATGTATATATTACGTCAATTTTGTTTTATGAGAATTATTAAATGTAAATTTTATAAATCCAACCGTTAAATTGAAACTTCATATCTCTTAGATCATATATACAAAATTTTATATTAATCCAAGATGATTTGATATTTCATTCTTATAAAACAAAATTGGCGTAATATATTTATTTCAAAATACACTAAAATATGAACACTTTGATTACCTTCAAGTTGTTGTTCAATTTTAACAAAATTTGACATATATGATCTAAAAGATATGAACTTTCAATCTAACGGTTAGATTTTCAAAATTCACATTTAATATAAAGTTATTAAGCGGTGTAACACTTAGTAAAAGTTACACCGGTGTCGTTTGAACCCTCCTCTATATATATATATGGTTGGATTTATAAAATTCACATTTAATATAAAGTTATTGAGCGGTGTAATACTTAGTAAAAGTAACACAGTATGTATATATATAAAAGGGAGGTTATAATTATACCGGTGTAACTTTTACTAAGTATTACACCGCTCAATAACTTTATATTAATTATAAATTTTGTAAATCCAACCATTAGATTGAAAGTTCATATCACTTTATACGAATATATCAAATTTTGTTAAAATTGAACAACAACTTAAAGGTAATCAAATTGTTCATATTTTAGTGTATTTTGAAATAAATATATTACGTCAATTTTATTTTATAAAAATGAAGTGTCAAATCATCTTGGATTAATATAAAATTTTGTATATATGATCTAAGCGATATGAACTTTCAATCAAACAGTTGGATTTACAAAATTCACATTTAATATAAAGTTATTGAGCGGTGTAATACTTAATAAAAGTTACACTAGTGTAATTATAACTCTCTATATATATATAATAGATAATATTATATAATATTAATAATGGTAGAAATTATTTGTAATTTTTAGACTAAATTACATATTATCATTAATCAATGAATTTATAAAATATTGATAATAGTTATTATATGGATAAACTTAAATATTGATACAACGTGTACTTGATAAAATCTACTTTTATAATATATAAAAATAATAGATAATATTATATAATAATTATTAATGGCAAAAGTTACCTCTAATTTAAGCTAAATTACATATTATCATTAATCAAAGCTTCTAAATATTGACAATATTAATATGGATAAACATGCATATTGATATAACCCTAGAGATAGTTGGATGATAAAATGGGTAATGCTCTACAAATCGACTTATTAGCCCATCAAAAAATGACAGATCGAGTTAGATATTTTAGTCTATTATTATGTATTTGGCAAGTATATCAATTATCATAAGTAGGAAATTAGATAAAAGTTCACATTATCGATACACATGGACTTGATACTAAATAGTTGAATTAATGAAAGTTAAGAATTATTCAACATGATATGGAAAAAAATTATAAAAGTAGAAAGCATACAATAAATTATGAAAGAGATTGATTCACTATCTTTCTCCATGTAAATCTTCTTAAATTTTCATTATTCAATATTAAAATTATATAATTAATTCAATAGTTTGCAATTATATTTAAATCTTAATTCTTTAGTCAAAAAATTCTAAGTTGTTTAATGAAAATATTAATTCCTTTGTAATTCTTGTTAAACAGCCCATATTAAGGTTAAAGATCAAAAGTTGACTAATAATGTTTATTTTATATCTAACAATAAATGTTATCAACATTTTACCTAGATTGTAATTCTAAAAAGGATTTTTTAACCCCAATTAAATTATGATATCATAAGGTTAATCAGGCATAACAAGCATTAAGCATAAGGTTAAAATAATTAACTAAATAAAGATTTGTGTTGAATGAAAACACAAATAAATTACATAGGTATAATATTTATCTCAATCTTCAACAGTAAAAGACTTAGTCACTCATGACTAAGGATTATACAATAAAGATAGGACCTTCAAGTGATTTGTGACTGCCAAATTGCTTTCACACAGAATGCTATCTAGTATCTCTAAATTTATGCTCGTAAAAAAGTATCATTTTGAAACCTCCTGATGACTATTTTTTATAATATTTTTAATGAGCTTTTGTTTGTGCACTTTGGCTCAAAGTGCTCATGTAACTTGCTCTGAATGAGTTTTTTTGATCCTCTAGAGGTGCTCTCTGATTTGACTCACTTACAGTGCTTGTGTAGTCTTTGACTTAACTTGCTCATATCAAGTTTTTAGGAGCTTTAAGCAAATTTGTCCAGCTTAGAGCAAATCCAATTAATCTCAGAGTGGTGGTTTTCATTTAAGACTCATAGCTTCCAAATTATATTCTCAGTATGTTACATTTCACAAAAGAAAAATATGAAAAATATCTAATATTAAAATTATATTTTAAAATGAAATTAACTCTTGATTAAGTGTTTTGTGGCCAAAATCAAGATTTTAAAACATAAAGTATATTTAATAATTCCTAAAATGAATAAAAATTATATACATATTTGGCAATTATCACCTATCAATCCAACCCTCCTAACCCATTGGGCAAAATGGTAGGTTGGGATGGATTAGCTTGTCGGTAGGCATGGGAATTAGGGATGGCAAAAATATCCGCACCCGCGGGTATCTGTGAGTAAAATCCGCTACAGATAATAAATGGATAGGCTAATTGGATACCCGCGGATAATGGGGACGGATAATTTTTTACCCGTTTATAAATGGGGCGGGGGCGAGTATGATGATATTCATACCCGTGGGTACCCGTTTAATAATATTTATTAAATATCCTAATTATCCTTATACCAGATAACCCTAAAACTACACTCTCATCTTATTTTCTTTCCATAGAATTCTGTTGGATGTAATTTGATTAATTTTCTAGCTTTGATTGAACCAATAAGATTTATGTATTTTAAGTTGTTTACTTACGTTTGAAATTATGAGATTTAATTATTGTAACTTTGTGATATGAGACTTTCCCTTACTTGTGTAAGATTGATGTATTTTAAGTTATTGATTATCTTGCATTTTTATTATTATTTCTGTAACATAGTTAAAAAAAATTGTGGCTAAATTAGTAGCCAGAACGGGTCGTTCTGAATCTGGAACGGGCCGTTCCAAGCTATTAAATTAAGCTTTGAAACGTAGTTGGGAACGGGC